AAAAAAAAAAAAAAAAAGCTTCCAAGTGGCCACATGTATGAACCTTGAAATCATTATGCTAAATAAAAAGCCAGAAAGATCACATATTTTGTCATTCCATTTATATGAAACATCCACAATAGGAAAATTTATAGAGATGGAGAATGGATAAGTGATTGTTTAGAGCTAGGAGCATATGAGGAAGAATGCTGGGGGATGGATGGACAGCTAATGGGTACAAGGTTTCTTCTGAGGTGGTGAAAATGTTCTATAATTGGCTGTGGCAATTGCTGCAAACACCTGTGAATATACTAAAAACCATTGCACTGTACATTTTAAATGGGTGAATTATATGGTATATGAACACTCTATCTATCTAAGGCTGTTACAACAAACAGAACACACTACTTCCATAGGACTCCTTTAGCTAGAAATTCCCCTAGCACATATCAGTCAAAGTTCATCATTAATATGCCTATATTTTAATGGTAAGTTATTCTTTATTTTGAATTTATGGATAGTAAGAAAAGTAATTCATGATGAAAAGAGTTATACATGGCCAACCAAATTCCATTTTTTGAAAAGGCTATTACCCTGATAAATCAAGCATGAATAATAATGTAGAAACAGCACATTAAGATCTCATCAGAGAAGAGGCAACTATTAGTCTCTCCTCATATGGAGCAAAGAAAAGTAAAGAAAATCAAAGATGCATGGAAAGAGTTCATCCAAAGGACTAATGGACCATGAGAACTTCAGCTTATATGACCCTGAAACAAGAACTAGATGGTGCCCGGCTACCAATATCAACCACTCAGAAACAGATCAGTATTAGAGATCCTGACTAGAGTGGGAGAAAAATGTGGAACAAAACTCAAAATCACAAAAAAGATCAGCCTTACTGGTCTGATGGAGGTGGCTGAAACCCCAGAGACTACAGCCCCAACTCATCTGTTCAGCCTGAAATTGAACTCACTCCCATGGCTTAACTCTCAGCCAAACAAGAGACAAGCCTACAAGGTGAACACCGGCACCAGGGAGATGCACTCCTTAGAACAATTAACCATGGAAGATCAAAAGGGCAGCAATTACACAGGGAGATAGGTAGGGAGGAGGAATGCATCAGCAAGAAGGACACAGAGAAAGGGTAATCACAGGTAGGAAGAGGGAGGTGAGCTGTTACAGCGCAGGGAATTAAAAAAAAAAGATCCCATCAGAGAATCTCATAAAACTGCCTATAATATCCTTGTGGGGACATGAGTTGGAAGTCAGAAATGTCTACAACCAAAAGGGGCTTGATTAACTAATGACAGTATCTAGTTGAATAATGCAGAATTCCAACTTATTACAACTTAAAAACAGGCCAGAAAGAGATCATGCTCAGTATCATGCAGCGACACTCATCTGCAGCACATTTTATAACCAGTCTCAAATTTCAGCACTGGAACAGATAGTCTACTAAGCCTAGCGGTGTCTGTCAGAAACCTCAAAGTATGGATTATGGGACGCCAGACTATTCCTTCTGAGGCAACTCTTCCAAAGATGTAATGGCTGTCTCTACCTTCCTAAACATCCCAGATGTTCTTACTAGGTCATGGTTTGTCAATCATTATATTATCTGCACTCTCTTTCATATTTAATTTACATTATCTGTTAAAAGAACTTTCAAGTCCTGGTTTGCCACCACACCCATTTGTGCCTTTTGAGATGTTGTATTTCCGAATATCTTCATGTCCATCTTTTCAGAGCAAAGAAGTGCTTCCATTCTCGCCTTTGGTCCATAGCATGACTTCCTGGGCTTTTCTTCAGCTTCATAATATGGTCAGAAACACATGAGCCTTCTAAGAGCAGATATACCTTTTAAACAAGGGCATCTCCTTGCCTTATTTCCAAAATATGCCACTTGGTTAACTTTTTCTTGGTTACAATTCAAACTAAAATAATTTCTCCAGAAAGATGTTACTAAATCTGCTCAGGATAGTGTAGTTGTAATTGTTTTCCCCAAAAAACAAAATCACCTTCAATTTTCCTCCAACGAAAGTTATCTGTTGACGTTCTAACCTCTAGGCCTGTATTTCGTTCCTTCTGTATTTTATTCAAAGAAACTCTGAAATGTATAGAAAATCTAGAGTCAGACAGCTTTGCTATGTGCTCTAGTGCCAGGAGTTTGAATGGAGTTGTGCTATATATATGAAAAGTGGCCCATAAATATATTCCATGATAGTCTGCTCATTATCCAGAAAAAAAGCCCAATATATTTTCTTCTCTTGTAGAGTCTGTCCTTCCATGAATCAGTCATTTGTCCTAAAATATATAATGTACACATCTTCTTCTGATAATGTATATTTCAATCTATATTTGGATACTATCCCTATTATGTAACTGTATAAAATGCATTGCTGTCAATTCTCCTTATTATTAATAAAGGTAGGTTTCACTACTCAGGTCAAATTATCTTTTATCATTCTATTATTTAAAATTAGAATTTCATTTCTGAAACCCAGAATTTCCTTTAAAAGATTGTTTTGTATGCTTTTGGGTTTTGGGTTCCTTGTTACTATTTTTTCTTCTGCCTCAGAGGGTAATTTCTACTCTATGGTTCTCCCATGTAACCAAGGATTCTGGTTTCTGTGTTTCAGTCAAACATAAACCTATACTTTATAAACTACATCACTTTGCTCATGCTATAAGCCATTCTCTCAGATTTCCAAGGCATTTGTATAGATTACAGTGCTGGACTACATCCTGGCTTTGCCATATATATTTGACTTAGGTAAACTCTGGTACCCCCTACCACTAACAAGGCTGGTTTCCTAAAGTCTTATTAATCTCAATGGCCTATTCTCAATTAAAAATATTTTCTTCAAAATGTGACATCTCTGGTGCTAGTAGTAATCTGGTGCCAGTGGATCCCTCCCTATATAGGCCCAGATTACTTACACAAGGTGCTGATCTCGAATCTTGCGCAGCTGGATCAGGTCAGGTTTGATACTATTCATTTTTTTATCTATTTCCCGGTTGTCCAAAGCTTGTTTCTTCAAATCTTGCTCTAGACGCATTTTACTATCATGAATCTCACCCAGACGTGATTTCAATTTGTCATAATTCATCATAATTCTGCAAAAATATTTGACATATTAAGGTTAAAACAATAACCAAGCAGAGTAATCCTATAGTTCAAGCATGGTCCCAAAATCTTAAGTGTGGTGGACATCTGATATGTCTGTCTGCCCAGTATCTATATTCCCAGTCTCTAGTACTAGTATCTTGATGATGTATTCCTTATATGTAGGACTTCCTGCCCCTACTATAGATCCAGCATTGGATGCAACATAGCACAACCTGGTCAATAAGAATATTCCATTCCTTCTTATCCCTACCCTCAGGCCATAGTGATTGGCTCAGGAATGGACATAAGACCCAAACTTGCCCAATGAGAGTCAATTCTAGGTTATGAGTCAGAATCAACTCAACAGACAGCACGTAACAACTACAACAACAACATTGTAAAAAAAGGTTCTCTTTTCCACTAAGTGAATATGTGATTCTAGTACTTCTCATAGGAGCTCTGGTAGCATAATGCCTAAGGCACTTGACTGCTAACCAGAAGGCTGGCGGTTCAAACCCACCAGCCACTCCTCGGAAGAAAGGCTCGGCAATCCTACTTCCGTAGTGATACTGCCTCAGAAAACCAAGGAGGGGTCGCTATGAGTTGGGGCTGACTCGATGGCAAATGGCAAATAACAACAACAACAAGTACTCCTCATAGCCATATTGCCACCTCACATGAAGAATAAAGCCAGCACAGCTAAAAACAGACCACAAGACAAAGAGTGTGAGAAAACATCCCAATGACCTTGTTTAGGCCCCAGAATACAGTCATAACTGAACAAGTGAAGAGGTAACACTGAATATTCAAGAGGTAAAACAGCACAGAGGTTTAAGAGCAATAGCTCTGGAGTCAGCCTGCACAGGTTTGAATCCCTGCCCTGCCACTTACTTACTATGGCTCCGGGCAAATTATTTAACTTCCCTGTATTTCATTTGCTCATGTGTTTAAAATGGGTACTTAAAACAGTACCTCCTTCACTGGGATGTTGTGTGAATGAAATGTGATAATACTTGTAAAGGGACTAGAATAGTACTTAGCACATCTTAGTAAGCACTCAATGTTTGCCTAAAGCAAATAGGCTATAAGCTTTTCCAGCACTCAAAGTTCTCTTCTGCTCTGTGCAGCAACTGCTCATTTGTCACCCAGTAATATGCAATTTTATATTACTATTAAAACCCATCACACTTATCTTTCCTTCCCTACAACCAAATTAGAATTGAGTATTTATTCATTATTAATAACAGTCATTAGGTGCCAAAATTGGCTCTGACTCATAAAGACCCTATGTATAACAGAATGAAACACTGCCCAATCCTGTGCCATCCTCACACTTCCTGCTATGCTTGAGCACAGCCACTGTGTCAACTCATTTTGTTGAAGACTTTCCCCCTTTTTGCTGACCCTCTACTTTATCAAGCATGATATCCTTCTCCAGAGAATGATCTCTTCTGACATGAACAAAGTAGGTAAGACAAAGTCTGGCCATTCTCGCTTTAAGGAGCATTCCAACGATACTTCTTCCAAGACAGATTTGTCTTGATACAAATTAATAACAGTAGTTACCTTTTACTGAGAGCCTACTATGTGCAAGGATATAAAATCTCACTTAAATTCTCAAAGCATTCTGATGAGGTATCATCCACAGTTTACAGATGAGCAAACTAAGTGAGGCTCAGGTCAGATAACTCATTCAAAGGTCATACAGCTAGTAAATGGCCAATACAGAATTCAAACATATGGTTTTAACCATTAACTACATTGCTTCACAGCACTTAGCCCTATATTTATGTACAAAGAGATTTACTAACACTGTATATACTAATATGAGAATAATTTTGCTTTTTCATTACATATGATTTTTATTTATTCTCCACTTTTTCATTCCTTTTCACTCAACTCATTATTATCTAGATCAGTCTTCTAATACTCCACTAAAATTGCTTTGATAAAATCCTTTTAGTTTCCTTAAAAAAAAAAAAAAGGTCCACATCCAACAGTTATTTCTCATGCTTCTTATTCTCTGTGTAATCTCATTCTTAGCATCTACCATCACCTACACATTATGCCTCCCAAATCCTTTTTACTATCCTGAGTTGCAAATCCACATAAGCAGCTGCCTGCCTCTCAGCTAGCTCCATTTGGATTCTCACAGTGTGATGGTTATGTTTGTATGTTAGCTTGGCTAGGCCTGGTTGAGTGGCTGGGCAGCTGGATGTAGTATTCCCCATGATGAGACTGGTAATCAACTCCATGGTGGAATCTACTGGGAGCAGCTGAGTAGCTGCCTTTGGGATGTGATCTGCTTCCTGTATATAAGCAGAAGCTTTGGGAATGGTCTCTAGCCTATGGCATGCTTGGACCCTGCATGTAGCTGTGTCGTTGCTCAGCAGCCTGCTATGCTCTGACGACCTTGGGACTTACAATGGACTTAAGTTAATGGCCTGCCATGTGGTTTGGTAACATCAGGACTGTGCCTTTTGACTTGTCAACCCTGGGGCTTCTCAGCCTCAGCAGCCAGCAGCTGCCTGAGTGAAGAAACGCCTCTAGCTCCAGTGGGCCAGGAGGGGAGGCAGAGCTGGACCCCAACGTTGAGGGGCTTTCACCCAGCCCCTAGAGCCTGGCACTTTGAACTTGGACTTAACACCTCCAAATCGTAAGAATAAACTCCTGTTTGTTAAGGCCATCCCATTTGTGGTATATATTCTTTTCAGAGCAGCACTAGGTAACAGAACACACAGGAACCTCAGACTCACCGGATCCAATCCTGAACTCTCTTTATGTACTTCCTATTTTAGGAAATAACACCAGAAATCTAGAAATAATCTTTTAAATTCTCCCAAATCTGGTCAAGCATCAAGTCCTCAGCACTCCTATTCACTTCCCTCCTTTCCTGTAATTTCTTTGGTATAGGCCCTATACATCATTTACCCTGATGGCCGCAATCACTGCAGCTACCTGCAACATCCAGGCTGGTTTTCTTGCCTATAATCTTGTTCTACTTTCAATTTATTCTCAGAATGATGCCAAAGTCAATTTTCAGTCCAATAAATATTCAATGAACCTCCACTATGAACTCCCAGACACTTATTTCTTCAAATGCTGCTCCAGATACAATTTGCTATCATGAATTTCACCCAGACATGATTTCAAGGGTACAATAAAAGATGAAAACTAAGGTATATCTGACCCAAGCCATAGTATTTTCGATCGCCTCATATGCATGTGAAAGCTGCACAATGAAAAAGGAAGACTGAAAAAGAGGTGATGCCCTTGAATTGTGGTGTTGGTGATGAACACTGAAAAGATCATCGACTGCCAGAAGAAGGAAGAAATCTATCCTGGAAGAAGAGCAGCTGGAATGTTTCTTGGAAGCAAGAATGGCCAAATTTCATCTCACCATTGTGCTCATGTTGTCAGAAGGGACCATTCCCTGGAGATGGATAACATGCTTGATAAAGTAGATGGTCAGCAGAAAAGGGGAAGACCCTTAATGAGATGGACTGACACAGTGGCTGCAAGGATGGGCTCAGGTATGGCAAGCATTGTGAGGCTGGTGCAGGACCCAACAGTGTTCTGTTGTACATAGGGTCGCTATGAGTCAGAGCTGACTCAATGGCACCTAACAACAACAACATCGTAACAGACAGTGGGACTATCAGGGAAAATAAGCCACCATTGCTACTCTCAATGAACTCACAGTTTAGTGACCATGATGTTCTATAAATGTCATGCTAGGGATCAGTACCAGGTACTGTAGGGGCACAGATAAAAATCCCCTAAACCAGTTTTAAGGAATCAGGAGTTAATAATTTTGGGGAATGGAGGAGGTACAGAAGACAAAGGACGTTCAATGTGGTATCATTAGCAGAAACGCAGAAACAAACAGTTCATATAGCAGAACTGTGCAGTGTGAGGGGTAAAAGCAGACAAGACAAGAATCATTGATGAAGAAAAGAAGTCATGTCTCACTGACACACTCGGAGGCATTAGGCAGACTTACCGTTCAATCTCCTTTTCATTCCCCTCTCTACGAAATCGCTCGATATATTCTTTGCTATGCTGTTCTTGTGTATGACATTGTTCCTCAAATATTTTAATTGTTTCATTAAAAGCTTCAATTGCAGTCCTCTTCATCTGTATTTCCTATAGGAGAGAAAAAAAAATGATGTACATTTTATTATCTTTATTTTTTCTTGTAACCGTGGTCTTAAAACAGATCTTACAATTTTCATTAACATTCTCATGTAAGATCCAATTAAGACCCTTCATTTATCTCCCACTCCAATTACTTTTACACAAAATATATCATTCAAAAGCTAAAAAAAAAAAGGAAAGGAACCACTGCTTGAAATTTATTACTGAGAAAGGCATCTGAACTGCCAAAAGAGATTGGCCCTTAACACCTTAGAGACAATGACCAAGTTCTGCCTGTATTTCTTATTGTAGTACTGATTCCTAAACAGCACTGAAGGAGAAAATAGATGGAGCAAAGAAGTCCATGCCCCAAAATGCAAAGCTTTAATCCCAGAAGAGCCCTATAGAATCTAGTTATTCTTACTTTCTTTTCTCAAGAATTTGCTTAAAACCCAGGGCAGATGAGAAGCAGAAAATGTACCAGTGCAGTAAAATACTTAATATGGCCTTTCTAGACATATTCCTCGATTTTGTAATATACTGTAAATCCTAGCCTTTACACCTGTAATTATGTAATTATGGTCCTATTTTTAAGTGAGCTGCCCGTTATGACCTGCCTATTTGGGTTCGTCAGACTCTGCAACCACCTGAATGAGAATCCTCCAGCCTGATGCAGGAAACACAGACCTGCGACTTACCGGAGTTCACAAATGTGTGAGCCGTTTCCTAGAGTTCCGTGAGAAGTTACAGTGAATTACAAAACATTAAGATGGGAAGGAGATTCCTAAGGGGAGGAGGGGGAGTTGATGTTAGAAGAGATAACAGAGTGGTACAGTAGTTTGGAAAAGTTAAGACATCTGGGACATCCTTAACCTCCCCTTCATAGGAACCAGCCTTGTGCTGATCCTTCTAAAACAAATTATTGGAGTAAAATGAAAAGGGGAACAAAGCTGCTAAAGGTAGAGGAAATAAGAAGAAAAAGACAAAAAACTGAAAAACTCCACAAAACAAACTTAGTAACTCTAAAAGCCTAAGAAGCTAGACCGTTCAGCACCAGAGTGACCAGCACTATACATTCTGGTGAGTTCTAAGGGCATTAATAGACTAATGTGATTAATAATCATATTAATGAACTGTGATTCCCCAAAATCTTCAAAAAGAGTATTTCAGTTTACTTTTAAAAGGCAAGAAACACACATAAAGGTCCAGAAAGATTGCCATATGGAAGGTTTACAATTTTAAGAGTTTTGATGTTTACAATATAACCTCAACTATCCAGCATTTATTTATTTCAACAAATGATTATTGAGAATCTGTTATAACGATGATATCATACTGTTGAATAAAGATATTCGTGAAACCAATGGCAAGCTCTCCAGGACTCAGAACACTGGTGGAACAGAATTGTGAACTTTAATAGGGTTTGCTTTCATGCCATGGTAGAGGTAACTGAATGGGGTGAATTAGTTACCTATTGCTTTAGAGAAGCTTCACAGAGTAAGTTGGTTTTTAAAAATTGGGGTAGAGGAAAAAAACACAGAATCACACATAGAAACCATGGTATGTATATACATGAAATAACAGGGGATATTCAAGGAATAGCAATTGCTTGGTAAGCCTGAATCATAAGAGGATTAGCAGGATATGAGGGAGGCTAGAACTCTGTGGGGGAGCTCTGGTAGCATAGTGGCTAAGACACTTGCCTGCTAACCAGACGGCTGGCGGTTCAAACCCACCAGCCACTCCTCGGAAGGAAGGTTGGGCAATCCTACTTCCATAGAGATACTGCCTCGGAAACCCAAGGAGGGGTCGCTATGAGTTGGGTTTGACTCGATGGCACATAACAACAACAACAGAACTCTGTGGAGTTACATATGGAAGAGGTTATATTATACTCTTATACATACATATACTTCATTTCTTACACATATTTCATTTCACTTGGATCCACAATCAACAGCCCTGCAAGCAGCAGTCAAGAATTCAGAGGTCACATTGCATTTTTGCAGAGCAAATCTGCTGCAAAAGACCTCTTTAAAGTATTGAAGAGCAAAGACGAAGGTGCACCTAACTAACCCAAGCTACGGTATTTTCAACCATCTCATGCAAAAGCTGGACAATGAAAAAGGAAGAATTGATGCTTTTGAATTGTGATGATGGCAAAGAATACTGAAAGCACCACAGACTGCTGGAAAAACAAACAAATCTGTCCTGGAGGAAGCGCAGCTGAAATTCTCTTAGAAGCGAGAATCGCCAGACTTCATCTCACCTACTTTGGTTGTGTTGTCAGAAGGGACTAGTCCCTGGGAAGGATATTATGCCATGTAAAGTAGAGGTCAGCAAAAAAGAGTAAGACCCTCCACAAGATGGACTGACACGGTAGATTCAACAATGGTGTTTTGGTTCTCCAGTACTGCTCTCACAGAAAATACCACAAATGGGTGGCTTTAACAAACAGGGATTCATTCTCTTACAGCTTAGGAGGCTAGAAGTCTGAGTTCAAAGTGTCACCTGCAGGGGCTGGGTGAAGGCCCCTCAACCTTGGGTTTCAGCTCTGCCTCTTGCTCCTGGCCCACTAGAGCTGGAGGTTTCTCTTAACTCAGGCAGCTGCTGGCTGCTGAGACTGACAAGCCCAAGGTCTGTAAGTAAAATGGCACAGTCCCAAGATTATCAAGCAACACGGCAGGCAACTAGGTAAACATTCCCAAGATCAGCATACAACATGGCAGACCACTGATTATTGTTAGGGGCTGTCAAGTTAATTCTAACTCATAGTGACCTTATGTACCACAGAACGAAACACAAGTGCAGGATCCAGATGTGGCAAGAGGCTACAGATCTTTCTCAAAGTGTTTTCTTATATACTAGAAGCAGACCATATCCATAAAGCAGCTACCCAGCTGCTCACAGCAGATTCCACCATGGAGGTGATGACCGGTCTCATCATGGGAAATAACTACATTCAGCTGCCCAGGATGTAGTTCCAGATGTAGGGTGTAACCAGGCCCAGCCAAGTTGACACATAACCTTAACTACCACACATGGGCTCAAGCATATCAAGGACTGTGAGGCTGGTGCAGGATGGGGCAGTGTTTCGTTCTGTGGTACATAAGGTCACTATGAGTTAGAATTAACTTGACAGCCCCTAACAATAAATTATACATATCCCAGACAGTACTGCAAACTTATTAGAATGCCTATATGTAAACAAGAGCTCTGGCAGTATAGTGCCTGAGGCATCTGACTGCTAAACAGAAGGCTGGCAGTTCAAACCCACCAGCCACTCCTTAGAAGGAAGATTGGGCAATCTACTGTTGTAGTGAGTGATATCACCTCCGAAACCCAAGGAGGGGTCGCTATGAGTCGATTCTGACTTGACAGCAGTGAGTTTGGTTGTTTTAGTTTGGGTATATGTAAATATCTTGTTACAAACTCTGCAACTCTCAAATTATAGTGTAGGGTCTTGGTTCCCTTGGGAGGTTAGAAATTATCTTTAAAGCCCTGGCCCTGGATTTTCAAAGAAAACACCAATAATTTAGACTTTACTAACACTGATATTCACCAGCCACTCCTTGGAAGGAAGGTTGGGCAATCTACTTCTGTAGTGATATCACCTCGAAAACCCAAGGAGGGGTCGCTATGAGTCGGATCCAACTTGATGGCACATAACAACAACAACACTGATATGAGAGCTCTGGTGGTGTAGTGCCTAAGGCATATATGACTGCTAACCAGAAGGCTGGCAGTTCAAAACCCACCAGCCACTCCCCAGAAGGAAGAATGGATGGGTAATCTACTTCTGCAGACACACCACCTCAAAACCCATGGAGGGGTCAAATTGAGGGCAGTGAGTTTGTTTTTTCGTGGTTTTTTTTGTTTGTTTGTTTTTAAAGAAAACACTGATAAATATGTTGGTAGGTGGAGCAGCAAAAGGAAGCAGCTCCCCCATGCCATCATTATTTTAAACAATGCCACTATACCTACCACCAAAACCATTAAAAAAAAAAAAAAAAAAAAATCTGTTGCTGTTGATTCCAACTCATAGAGACTCTATAGGATAGGGTAGACCTGCCTCACAGGTTTCCAATGTTGTAAACTTTCCAGAAGCAGACTGCCACTTCTTTCTCCTACAGAGCAGTAGTTGGGTTCAAACTCTTGACCCTTCAGTTAGCGGCTTAGGGCTTAACCACTGTACCACAAGGGCTCCTCCATCAAAACTGTAAACCTACCTATATCTGCACCATCCTCCTCTCCTTCCCCATCACCCCATCCCTTTATCTATATGTGTTCTAGACCTCATCTCCTCTTCTCTTCTCATGGCTTCCATGTACCATGCCAGCCCTTTTTATAACAGCAATTCTCTTGGTCTACTGGTTCCTTTTCATCTACATATAAACAGCACTTTGAAGAAAATCCTCTTAACTCTAAATTCCCTCCTAGTCAATTAAGCTTCTTGAAAGTATTGTTCACATATGCTGTATCTCCTTCTTCATCTCTCATTCACTCTTCAACTCACTCTACTCTGGCTTCTGCTCTCACTATTACACAGACTTTTTCCAAGGTCACCAATGATTCTCCTCATTGCCAACTCCTTTATCCCAATCAATCATTAAGTACTATAGTTTTTCCTCCCAATTATACATAATCCAGATGTAAGATATCCCCACATGTCGCCTATTCTCACCCTGTGCCAATTCTGAGTCAGGGCATACCATCTCTTCCCATTCTCTGGAAAAAATTTACCTGCACCAAAGCAATGTAGATTTTATCTAAGATTTCACAGTAAAAACAGAGGAGGCTCTATAACACACCTTGAAATCAACTCTTTAACCCCCTTTAACATTATTTCCCAGCACACTCCCTGTATGCTAATCACTAGGTCCTTCTCTTTCTCTCCACTTCCCAGAGCTTTACCTCACAACAGCTCTTCTTTGCCTAGTATTCTGCCCCATTTCACCCCCCATCTCAAATTTTGCTCCCAATTCTCACATACAGAAATTTAGCCCTCT